AATAAAGATTAATTCGAGGAAGAGAGAACTAAGACGTACGATCAACTTCCAAGTCCCCTGATCTGAGCCGGATGCTCGTAGCTGTCAACCCATTCGTAGTTGATGAGATTCTGCATCGGACAGTACCAGATTGCTCTCCGCTTGCAGATCTATAAAGATGACATGAGCTTATTCTCAATCCTCCTTCTTACCTGCTACTCTTCCACTCCAACAACTCCAAATAGGACGAGGAAGCAGTGAACACGTCTGGATCGACTGAAAAAATAACGATTAATTCGAGGAACAGAGAACTGAGACGTACGATTTACTTCCAAGTCCCCTGAACTGAGCAGGATGCTCGTAGCTGTCAACCCATTCGTAGTTGATGAGATTCTGCATGGGACCGTAACAGATTGCTCTCCGCTTGCAAATCTATAAAGATGACTTGAGCTTATTCTCATTTCTCTTTCTTACCTGCTACTCTTCCACTCCAACAACTCCAAACAGGACGAGGAAGCAGTGAACACGTATGGATCGACTGAAAAGACAACAGTAACTAAAAAAAGATAGCAGTAGAACGTACGATTATCTTTCAAGTCCCCTGAACTAAGCAGGATACTCGTAGGTACCAACCCATTCGTTGTCGGTGTGACCCAGCATGGAAGCGCAGCAGATTGTTCCCTGATTTGAATCTTATTCGAAATATGGCATTATGAAATGACGTAAAGAATGACTCAGAACAACTCTTACCTCATTCCAAGATGGATTTTCTCATTTCCCAGCACGTTCTTATCATATCAGCGTAAGCTGTCGATTTTCTTGGATACGCTGCAGAAGAGCGAACTTGGTTATTCACGCTGACAAGCTGATGACAATTCAAAACCCATTGGAACACATCCTGAAGGAGAATTGTTTAACGAGTAGGAACTACCTTGAGATGATGATAACAATCCTCCTGGACCAGTGTGCTTTTCATAGTCCTAAAGCCTGCCAACATTGATTCCTTTCTATCCCTCTGTAACTGACATACCCATCGAAAAGCTATAATTCACAGTATATCAGGCAACACAACCAAAATGATTTTATTCTGTTTCGCAACAGAAGCAGTATACAAGGTAGATAAATGAATGTTTCAGTTACGATGGGTCAGTTACAACCTATACACGCCAATAGAGAAGAAGTAATAAACCATTCTAGCCACACAGATCATCTCTTATTGAAAGCAAAGTAAATTTTACAATGTACTGCGTGATGTTTAGAATTGAAAAAACAAAAATCTTAAGGTAATCTTAACCATCGACATAGCTGAAACTACTTTAGCTTTTCTGCTTCTCTAAGTTCAGTATGATGAAGAATCATCTCTAAGCGCGAGAAGAGCGTAGACCATTCACAACAGAGCATACCATCTCAATACCGATTGCAATTACTACCCACAATCAAAGTTGTAAATATGATACTGATGTATCTAAGAGTTGAAATACTCGAATGCTGACCTGATAGGTACACTTCAACCGGACGGTTTATTAATTCACGAATAATATTACAGTGGCCGATCAAAGAAAGTCAACAATTATATACAGAAGCGAAAGAAAAAGGAATTTAACAGATGAAACAATATTAGAAAGTTTTTGAAAGTAACACTTCTTTAAATGCCGCCACTAGGAACATGCAATGAAGCCTATAATACACGTAAAACTTGAGGAGTTCCGTTCGAATGAACTATGAAATAACAACAGTGAATTTGCCCGAGCCAATGAAATGTTGATGATTATGTACAGAAGTTATCTGTGGAGTACCCGTCCATACCTATTGAATGGCACATGGATTTTCTCCTTTCTCTTCAACCTTTGAGCAATATACTTCGTGAATGAGGAAGCGCATATGCTCCATGTCTTGCTCCAACTTTTTGATAGATTCCTCTTGTTTCATAATCTATAACAGCAACATTGATTAAATAATTGAAAATAATGTTCAAACCATTCGTTCGGCAGATGCCATTGATAGAGGTGTTGAATCGAATTCAATGGTTTCAGCTTCACTTTCGGACATAGAATCGCCACGAATGCCTAAGAATTTGCGGACATCAGGAGCTTTTCCACTAGCACATTCCGATAACACATCCCTCAGGCATTTTGTGAGCACTCTAGTATCTGCCAACTTCTTTTGTTGACAACGGAGACTTTGACTCATAGCTGGAGTGATGTCGTCTTTCTTTGTTGCATCGATAGTGAAATTCGAAAGACTTTTTCTGAGATTGCTCTTCTGCGTGGGAAGAGGGCTCATATTAGTTCCTAGCGTGGAGTGTGCCTGGAAACAACAACAACTTGTAAAAGACGGAAAAAACTGAATAACTTACTTTTGTATACGGTTTCGTTTGCGCATAATAAGGAGAGCGGACGTCAACCAAAGATTCCGTATCTTCCGCTAAAGGTGTTGATCCGGAGGAACAGGATTGATGATACATAGATGCTTCCTTTTGCAAAGTCTGCAATTATAAATAGGATTACATACAAATCTAATCAGCTTGCATACCACAAGATTCTGTTCCATTCTCTTTAGACTGTCTTCTTTGCAGTCAAGGTCTTTGTTCAGGGTAGAATTTTGTAATTCTAAATACTCTAATTCTCTCTGTAGCTTAGAGCACTGTCTCTCAATATTTTCTTTTTCTTCTCGAAGCTTGGACATCTTCTTTTCTTGCTCATTCAATTTAAGGTTGAGCTCATCCAAAGCTTCAGAAGGCATATCGGCCATAAGCGCAGCTTGCTCCCGATATTTAATATATTCTTGATCCAAACAGTTCAATCTACAAATGAGTGGATGAGTAAAGCACATTACGATATTCTCGAACTTATTCATAACGTGTCGCAATTCTTCTTTTGAAGAATCCGAATCACGTTTAAACCGGCGCAATTTCTCATCATACTCTCTCTGTTGTATCTCCATTTGATCATAAGCTTTACGTAACTGGGCCTAATAAATAATGCAATAGCGATCATTAAAACCAAGTAATATACCTGAAGACGTTCAATTTCTACTTCTTTTTCAACTATGTTCTTAGCCATTATCTGTTGTGTGACAGGTGTAGGCGAAGAGAAAATGAGTTGTGTGGAAGGCGCATTAGAACTTCGGTTATGTCCATCTGAAAACAAAACGAATGAATGAATGATTAAAGACTGAAAAAAGTTGGTGGTCATTTGCTAACCATTCATTAGAGACTATAAAAGTCTCTTTACGAGATCGGAGAAGAACTTAGGGAAAAAGATAAAAAGGAACCGTGTCATTTATCACCGGCACAAAATTCTATTCAAGGTCTTTGCACTTAATAAGGCGCTGCTTCCTTGGAGAAGCGGAAAAGAACACAACGTACGTTTAGATGGGAGAGTAGGAGTCACTGGAATGACGACGGAGGTGCCGTTACTGATAACAGCAGCTTCTAACTCTTTAACTCTTTGCTCCAAGCTGGCAACTCGAGATGGAGGACCGTCAACTGAAAAAATATATTGACAGATGTAATAAACTCTCGAAACTCTCGCAGTCGGTCTAAACCACGATCAGAGGAGCTCGAACTCGTGACAAATAAAGAAAAACTTCGGAGGAAGACTCACCTAAGCGTTCGTTGGAATACATTACATGGTGTCTAGATGAATCATGGGTAGAATGACTATAAAATATGCAAAGTATTTCATAATGATCCGTAATAAACTTACAGTTGTCTCCCTTGATCTTCTCGGTAGCTATGATTTCTTTGTTTATGAGGTATAGGAGCTACAGCAACCTTAAAACAACAAATTAGACATGTATCTTAAACAATAAGAAAAGGCTCTCTCTCTCTCTATTCCCAAAACAAGTACCTCAGGCTTCTTTTTCGAAGTACCAGGTGTATGAGGTGGTGTTGGGGGTTTCTTGTTTTTAGGGCTGGAGTTAGCCCCAAAGCGTTCAGTAATCTTAGTATATAGTCTACTCATCCCACAACAACAGTTCATATTACAAAACCACAACCATTGAAAAATGTAAACCCTAATGGGTGTCTATGCTCAACAAGTTAGTGTCGCAAGCCTCGTAATTCGCTGGAATTATATATGATGTCCGAAAAAAAGGTAAGCGGAATAGTAAAAGAATGAACAAGAACATAAATCTAATTTGGGAAAACAATTGGAAGCAAAACACAAAGGATGGGAGGTTGGAACCTGTTGAAGAAAACACAAAAAGAAAACGAAAAATAGTGAATAGGCTAGCTTACATCGTTAGATGTGTGAAAATGATGGAATCCCGATGAAAAAAGAAGATGAGAATAGAGATGCGAATATCGAATGCAATACTATCGCGATCTCGAGGACATAATTGGGGGATGAGGAGCGAATTATTATGAGTCTCCCGAAATGGTAGGCTCATTATTCATAGCATGAAGTAAACCTCTTTCACGCAGTTGATTATGATGATGGGGTACATGAGAGACAATGAATGAGAAGTAAAGGGAGGCGAAATGTCCTGTCAAACATGTATGCATTTAGCTACGCACCGAAGACATACAGTCAGAGAGCGACAGAAACACAACGCTCCTCTAACAATCATCGATTTTTTGTGAGGAGAAAGAAGTTGACGAGGAGAGAAACAACAGCAAATTGACGGCCATCGCTGAGTGGAGAGGAATCAGAATCTATTTGACATGATCAAGCTGAAATCTTGATCTAATGGAAGAAAAAAGCAAAACTGACAGCTATTCAGAACAAATATTGGAGAACAATGTTGATGCAAGCTTTCAAGAGTTTTATGAACAGAAAACCATAAGTAAGAATCAGCTGATCATGAAAGGAACGAGAAATGTTTCGAAAAGAAGGTTCAACTGCACAAGTAGGACAAATTTATGAAAACGTTGAAGAAGAGGATCATAAAATTAGTGATTTAGATCTATGTTGATGGAAATGACTGTCGTCATATAACATGAGATGAAGGCGCGTGTGGAGCTGGTTAATAGACGAAAGGGGGAAAGTGAACGGGTAATATCTTGATCGTCTTCATCCTTAACGTCTCCACCAAACATTTGTTACGAAGAACACAAAATTAGATTGAAGAGCAAGCGGTAGGTCAGAGGAGATATAACAATTTCTCGAATCTCATGAAGAAACAGAGAAAGGATGAGCGCTCAATACTAGGCGATTAGAACGAACACAGCAGGGGAGTAACGAGACAAACTGGTTGTCCCACGCTGTTTTTGTCCCCCCCTGAATTCCATATCTGATAAGACCAGAGTTTACGTGATCAATTTAGGATATAAGAAACGGCTATCAACAAAAAAAAAGTTGGCAACAACAGCATTTGTCAAAGGCAAAAGGTCATAAAAGAAGAAACAAAATGTTGATGAGGAGCTCTATACATATGATAAAGAAGCGGACAACCCAATGATCATTGATAGTAGAACGTAAATATCATGAGGACATGTCGTATTATTCAATCATCATTAATGATGTACCATCTTCTTTATAAAGAGATATGAAAACATTTGATTCAACGCACAACCATATCAAACACATCGTCATGTTTCAACTATCTTTCAAATCGTCGAACCAATACAGCATTACGATTTGGGAAATAGCTCAACACAAAATTATTCACAAAACCTTATAATTCAGCCTAAAGTAAATATTGGCTGAGAATCGTAAAACGTAGACTCATGAGTAGCCTGCAATGGTTTTGGAACACAAAGGTGACCACAGAGGGAAATATTAACACTATGTTTGCAAAAAAGGAACGACAATATAAACTAAATTGGAAGAATATGTAAACGTTGAAGTCTATCTGCTGCAAAACAATCCATAAGCGTATAGCAATCGATATGCAATGAAAAAATGCGTTGCATACTCAGTGAGAAGAAGCAATTGGGACAGGATATTTCGGTAGAAAGAAGACAAAAAGTGAAATGAGAGGTTGGCGAGGGCTTGTCTCAAACATACACACAGTTGCGCGACGCCTTTCAATATCCAAATCTTTCCAAAAGAAAAAAGAGATAGAAATGATGGAGCACAAGCAATCAAGAGAGAGAGTGAGCGCTGGGTCAGCTTTCTACACCTTGTCCCTTTTTTTTGAAGAATGCACACAGACCTGAGAGGCTATGCGACCACTCGGTTGCTCGGTTGGTCAACTTTGTGAACCTGACGCCAGGAGGACGATCATGACGCTGACCATTACGGTCATATGGCCTTTCAGTGAGGACGGAAATACAGCCCATTCAATGACAAGGATGAAAACGAATACATGAATGTAGAGGCCATCCGACAAAATAACTCAAATATAAAACGGATCAACACTTCAACATTGCCACTGCCATAGTAAAAGGCTTAGACAGCAGATGCAGTACTGTCGAGTGGGATTATAATTCATTCATAACATTAGGAAGACTATCGTGTTTGAACAAATTGGAGAGACTAAATTATGATTTTTGAATAGAAAACAGTTACTTAGAATAAGTTAAGACGAAGATGAACACTAGTTCTAAAAGATGTTTGAAGGTCGGACACACGTGTTAGCCATATGCGCAGATTGGAATGAAATATAATCATTAAGCTTTCAGGGCAGCGAAAGATATTATGAAAAGGTCGCTCTCTCATAGATTCTGTATCGTTAGGCGTTAGACCTTTACTGATTTACTGAACGCTTTTTAGAAACTCGTAAACTCGCGGTAAATAAATGATAAAACTACCAACCTTTTTACCAACAGGCGTGCTCGTAACAACGGTGCTGTCAATTCTGAATGATTCGTTGAAATTTCCTCGATCCACATGTTGAATACTTCTACGATGACTGAAAACAAAAGTAATATTAAACAACAAAAAAGAAAGCCAAAAAGCAATGATAACTACAAACCGCTTCGAGTCAACGTGACGCTTTTCAAATTCTAATTCCGAGCATTCTGTATCAGAAATTTGAAAAAGATCGTCATGGCATGAACAAGAACCTCGCATTTTGGGCATTTATAAGAACTGTAGCCACTTTGTCTAATTGGCTTTATGTTTACGAATTCTCGAAGAATCCATATACAACCACCATCTCACCAACTGGAGGAACTAAACATGTGAGAAAGATATGACAGATACATATATCGTCCGAAGATATAGTGGCATAAGGAACGTTGTGGCAACATTAGAATCAATCGGATACACCAATGAAAAGGGCATTGAATAATAGGCTTCAGAGCGACCCTTGAGAAAAGGATCGTGATGAAGACACTTACTAACCAATTTTGCTTATTAATCGATACTGTTTCAAAAGAATACAAAAACTATGAAAGCGTATGGAAAACGGTTGCAATTCAAGAAAACGGCTGAATTCGACTAGTGGAGTCATGAAGACATCATAAACACAAAATAGCAGATGTGTATTCTTTCTCTCTCTATAAAAGGAAGAATACAGCTTAACAAGGCACAGACCTCGTACAGCTAATTGGATGGCCCAAGAGACAAGGGTCACACAGAGAAGAATTCTTATATTACTACATCTAACTTAGAAAAAATAATGATTCGAATTATATAATTTGAACTATTTATGTGAGAATTTATTCTGGAGTATTTGTGCTGATGAACTCCAGGCCGAGAAAGGGAAGGAGCGTCATTGATCGAAAACGGCAAAACACATCCAGAAGGTCCGCATTACGAAGAAGCTGCGTGCGAATATAGAAGGAAGAGAGGGAAGAGAAATTGCGAGCAAATTTCTAAATGAAACGCAGCATATGAAGCCTGCTTGTCACATATCAAATACTATATTTGACAAGTTGGGAGACTAATATGAAAATCAAAAGCATGAAGAGAGAAAAGAGGTAATACTTGTTTAACGGCTTATGCCCATGTGTGGTCGTTAAACGAGAGCTCAAGTAATGTGAGTCACACTGAGCCATAGGAAACTGTGCAGGAGGCATCAAGCATAATAAATAATCTCTTGAGCCAAGCAAAGAACGTCAAGATACCACAGTTGAATGGCTTGGGGAAAGCTTGTCTGGGAGAACACATGTCTTGGATATGAGAGATACCACAACACTATTAATTTCTAACAGATTCAAGCAAGCTTATTCGAACATAAGATGATTTATAATCATGTGACTCGAAGTGGATGATGTTGAAAAGAAGAAAAAATACCTTTGTGGAGTTAGTGGAGGCCTATGAGCCATCTCCTGGTTGACGGAAAACTGACTGGAGCCGTTGTATCCTAGATGTGCCGCTGAAAACCAACCGGGTTATTCGTGTGATACTGAGAAATGAAATTGAACCACAATGCCGTTATTCTCTCTTTCACGCGTCACACGTCACGTGAAAACGTGGATTTGAATTTAAAAAGGGAAATTAGCATTTTCAATCCAAATGGCCATTAAAAGTAATTAATTGAATTAAGAAATCACTCAAAACCAATTCTCCATGACAATTGTTTAATTATTTATAAGCGATGATCAGAGAATAGTTGCCACCTGCTCATCGCAAGATCAAACGATTTCTACTTTTGAATTCAAAATACTGGTAAGTCCATCTAGATTTTCCTTATATGCTTATCTTCCAGACAGCGTTCAAGCATTTCTCAGTTATCCTGTCAAGATTTACTCGAAAAAGAAATATTTCAAATGTGCGCACAGCTGTTGGCAGAAATGAAAAATGACTGAGTGAAAGGATGGTCGAGCGAATCCATTTTTTCACAAATGAGAAGCGCTTTACTCACTACAAACAATTTGACATTTCCCCCCTTCACAGAAGGAACGGTAAAAACTTTACAAAAGCCGCAGCTGCTGCCAAACCCAAAATGCGCGGTGAACAACGACATCAGTTTGATATAATTGGTTCTGATATGTGAAAGGAAAACTTACCATTCAACATCTGTAGACTGGTACGTCTATTCTCGCTTCTTCTCAAATCCTGCATGTCATTCACCTCTGATGAACTACCCATCGCACGACATCGTACCCGTCGAGGCCCAACTACAGCTAGAGGAGTAGCATATTCTCTAGCCCCATCTCGGTTATCTACGCCAGATAATTCGGATGGCTGAACAACTCTAATTAACTAAGGAGAGAAAGACAACAATTCACCTGGAACTGTGAATTGTTGTAGGAAAGTGAGTGTGTAGAATGACATCGGGGTACTAATGGTTCAGGCTCGAAACCAGCTTCGATAGCGTCGATTTTTTGAGGTTCTCGACGCCTTAGTCTCACTGAAAACGGGTAAAATTAAAATGAGAACAACAATTCGAAAAGTAAGTAAGGTTTTTTTCTCTCTTAAGTGAGCCACCACCATCCCTATATGTTCATTGCTTTGACGAGGGAGCGGACAAGACGAAGTAAAGTGTCCTTTAGGAACTGCTTACCATTATTAATGAATGAGAGAAACGTATCAGATAACGAATAAGCTAAGCAGAATAAACACATTTCGATCGCGCAAGACTACATAATCAATTCAGCTTTGATTTTTCGGACAAAAAATCCGAGCATTGAATTGAAATGAAAAAAAAAGAGATAAAGATGTTTCAAGTCGGATGACTGTCGGCTTGTAGTGAGAGGAAGAAAAACGCCCCACAGTTGTACTCAGATGAGTAATCCCTCATTATCAATTAATCAAGCATCCCTCTTGATATCAATTGGCATTGCACGAGACGAGAACCTCATCCCACATCTGACTCTTCAAATTGAGGAATTAAATTGAAGAGGTTGCGAAAACAACAGATTCTTGCACATGTTATCATTCTGAGACTATCCCTCTCTTTCAAATTGGTCTATAAAACTGTTGAGATCTGCTAAAAAACGTTGACTATGTAAATTTATCTGCCTTCCCAACATATCCCAACGATCGAGGCCAGATAACAGCTCTTCTAAGTGACGATAATCCGCATTGTACGTCTGATGAAAAAGCGATAGTCTCGAAACAACAAAAGACTTTATAAGCATTGCCGCGAAAAACCGTTTTAGTCACTTTTCATACCAGGACTTACAGATTCACATCTTAAGTCAAGACAAGTGTGTCACCGGAAAGATTAGAACATTGCTACAAAAGCTTTTAGGGCCCCTCAATTGCATACACAACTCAAAGAAAGATCCATTTCAGCGGAATTTACATAAAGCCATATTTGATGAAACCATTCGCACAATACGGACGATATAATGGACGCCAAACTCGACGACCACATGTCAAATGTCAAATAGAACTGGCGTCACTAGATCGATTGACAAGAACTTGGAGCTCATAGTCATCTACGGAAGTGATTAAAGGGAAAAGTACTTCTATCGTAAATCAAACGATTGTCATTTTAACTTGAAATCTCAAAAGAAATCTCAATTTGATGGGAACGATGACAGAAAAAACTATGGGAAACATTTGGCCATCCATGATGTTGTTCCAAATGACATACAGATACACTCATCATCCTGGACTAAAGGACCTCGAAACGAAAAAAACAATAAAATGAAAGATCTTTTTCGAATTTTCAAACGTCTCTTAAGATGACTAAAATCCTCAAAAAGTTTAATTATTTGGCGTACACGCGTAGTCAAGGTCAGCAGTAGACGAGGAGACAAAGAAACAAACAGTAATAATGGTATGGAAAAGTACAAAACTAACTAACCGCCTGGAAACATTATCCCAAATAGATTGCTACACAGCATGATAGTTGGGGCTTAGTAAAAATCTATCTAAAAACTTAGAGCGAAGCCAGATGCGCGTTCTTATGGGCGGGACAACATCTCCGACTCCGCATATGGTCAGCAACAAACGCAGGTGCCAGAGACTATAGCAGTTGAAAAGACAACAGCAAAGAAGGAGTCGCAAAGAAAACGGATATGACCCTTGATCTGATTCACAGGACTTAGGTAGGGCATGTAATGTTATGAACAAGTATAGCCAAGGGTATTATTACACAAATTACCTCGTTTGAAAAAAGTCATATACAGAACGGGACGGCTTGACTAATCGTAAAATGTGAACTGACTGAGAAGTGCTGCAGGCAAAAGCACTTCTACTAGGGGTGAACACGGAACACTCGAGAGAATAACGCGGCTGCCACTTAGAATAGAACATTTACGACAATCCATTTGTCAGACTATCATAATGGGAACTCAGAACCTCACACAAGAAGCTCCGACCGAAATTCATGAGCGCATGGGCTTAAGGATCAATCATTGGTTGAGACCAATTCTAACGCTCAAAGAGAAGCAGGTGGTCACATCATTTTTACATGTTAAACCAGATAAAAAGAAAAGAAAAACAGAATGGTAGCAAGTAAGGATAAACAGACCTGGTGAGTCTAAGAAGGTCCTCAACGTGTGTTTTTTCACTCGACGTGGATTAGAAGAGAATATTTTACTAGTAGAAGCGACAGATATGCTAGACTTGGCGTCATCATAATCCATAATATCAAAATCCTTCAGTGTCGTTAGGCTCGGCGAACTTGGTAGATAAGAGAAACTGTTGCATTGATGATGACAACGTGAATGTGACTTCTCATACATACTAGAGGACATAACATCTTGGGACTTTCGTCTAGGTGGCAAATAAGGAGAGAAAGTTACTCCTTTAACACTCGAACCACTGGAGGAACGAGGCAAACTAGAAGTATGAGTGGAACTTTCTCGTGAGCTTCCTTTTTCGATGAGTCGATTTGTGGACTTGTCACCACCGAGTCCTAGAGTCGTTTTCAATGCTCGACTAATGGTTTCCCTAACAGAGGAACGAGCATTGCCGTTTCGTAACAAAGCTTTTTCTCCTATGGTTCCGCCATTACAAATACGGTCATGTGGAGACATTCACTAAAAAAAATAAAATAGTCAAAGATTCGGTCGAAGAAGGAGAAGAAGAACAGCAAGTACTCGGAAGTTAAAACCAAAAGAGGAGGAAATAAAGAAATGGGAGGACAGGTAGACAGCTGTTTCAGACTTGAAAATGGTTAGTGATTAGTTTGATGGCAGATGAGATGAGCGATGAAATGACAAATGCAAACAGCGGGAGGAACATGAACTAAACAGTCAGGAAAGAAAGAAAATCTGAAATTGAGTCAAGTCAGAAAGCTACATCAAAACTGCTACAACAGCAAACATAATGAATATCTAAGTAGAAACAAGGGAGCAAATAAAGATCGTAGGTAGGTCGCAGAATCACAGAGAGTGATGAATTGCTAACAGGCGGCACTGACCTCTAGCTGCATTATTGCCAGACCTTAGAATATTGCAGACACTAAAGACTCTCTGGATGAGATGAATTCGATAAGCTTAATCTATTGCTCTTTCCGAACTCCAAAGACTTCAGAATGTTATAAAGGTTAGTGAGCATTCACTGCATTCGTATGTTATTTGTATCTTGCACAGACGACGAATAACATCTTCTGTAACCTCTCAAAGCAATAAAGCCATATCGCAAACAAAGGAAGCACATCTAAGCACACGTTTCATAAGTTTTAAATGAATAAACAACATAACTATAATCAACTGTACAAATTCGCAGAGAACATCTAATATCCCCACCAGCTGCTAGTATCAGTCGTATTCACTCAAACCTCACGAGATCTCTTTCAGACCACAATCTAATCATTTTGAAAAATGAAATGCTTCTTACTGTTTATATCCTCCAAGCCCAGATATTCGGTTACAGAGATATCGAATCCTAGTTCAATTCCTTCAGGTTGTACCGCTATACTTCTTTCCATAGACGAGTTTGAACTGTCATGACATTGCGCCGTGTTAAGCACTTTAGGAGAACTGAAAAACAAGAATTACCTAAGTCTAATCAAACTCTTACAGAAAGTTCGTTACTGCATTAGCACATTCCTGCAATGCTTTCGGGGCAATGAGCATTGCTGCGGTCTCCCTTACCTAGTTTTCAAAAACAGTTGTAGTTAGTAATAACCAAAAGTCAAGTGTGAGGTAATAATGGCTTTGCAACCTGTATGACAGAATCAAAGGAGTAAACAATTTATTCATTTAACATTATTCAGAACGCCAAACAAGTTTGAATTTGAATATCTCGTCATAAACAATTCCCTCGAGAAGCGAGATGTTCGAAAATACAACGAAAAGACAAATAAATTCAGAGTTAAGCCTGACGGACCATGAAAGAGAAATAATTTAAATTATTCTGTGTGCATTATTACGTCGCCCGAGAAATACATAATTACGATATGAATTTTTTATACAACTGCTGACTGTTGTGAAGTCAGATTGAGGGAAATGAACGACCGCTAATTATAAAGAATGGTATACTATGGTATCGGACGTGGCTTTCACGTGAGCCGTTCCCGCCATTTTCAAGCAAGTGCAGACGCTGAACGGTTGACCACGGGTTGTCTCATCATCCTATTCTCTATAAAACCGACATTTCCTACTTTTTTCGTTGAATGTTTTTCTTTCAGAGCCCGATTGGGACTTACGGTGAATAAAAGATGAGAATAAGTTGAGCACTTTATTAAAATAAACTAAACAATTTTATAAAATGTATACAACAAAAACATTTTTCGTTCGAGAATGGTGAGATTCTCCAATATATATAATACAACTCTCTTTTAACATTAAAGGCAACATCACAAATCACTGATAATGTGTACATGATTATCTAAACAGTTAAGTATTGGCACTTGAAAATCAAACTAGTAGGTTAGATATTTCGCTGAGTTGCAGCTTAACAGCTAATATCTCGCTCTACAAGTTTTACAATTCGTTTGGCATCGAAGTTACGACAAGAGACGCAGAAGCTTCTACACTTCCGTGCTTATTAGAGATCTGGAAGTAATGGTTTCAGTTGGTTGGCGCATTCTTCCTTAAACAAACTCACTTTACAAACGTATTCTCCTTCGTGTTCAGGAAGAGCTTCATAAATCTTAAGAACAGCTAGTCTAGTATCGAAATATGTTCTAAGAGTTCGGCTTTCTGCCACCAGCTTTCCATTATGATACCACTCAACCAAAGGCGTAGGTGAGCCTTCTACTTCTAACTCAAGTACTTCTCGTTTACCTAAACAGTAAGGATGATCTCTGGTACAAGTAATTTTACGAAACCTTCTATGACAGTCTTGTTCATCAATGATCGTATTAAAACAGGTGGAGAACTTCGCATAACAGTGGGTGATCTACTACGGCTTCTACTTCTCACGGGAGCTAGATGTGACATATCAGAGCCACTCTCTGAAAGTTAACAAAAGAATGAGTAAACGAAGTGTGTCTCAAGACGTACCTGCTACTTTGACTGTACAATGAGTGAAATCTTTTCCGCAGCTATTCACAGCTTCACATGTGTATTCTCCAGCATCTTCGGGAATGACATTCATGATGTTCAATCGAGATACTCCTCTACGGTCAGTGTAGTGGAGCATACGGTTGGAAACCATCATCTTCAATCCATCCTTGTACCTGAATAGTCAAATTAGCTTTCAGAGCTTAAAAGCAAGGATTACCAAGTCACACTCGGCAAAGGCTTGGCTTGAACAGAACATTCTAAAACCATTTCTTCTCCTTCAACAACGGAAACGTTGTGTAGGAGTTCCGAGAAGCGTGGTTTGAAGACGGGATCGATTGGAGCTGGAACATTTCGAAATATTGGCGAAACTTTAACAAAAACTTACGTATGATACATACTAAACTGGAAGAACGAGCTGATCCATTGATGTTTTCAGCTTCGCAAACATAAGTTCCAGCATCTTCTGGTGTTGTAGCGAAAATGGTAAGAGAACACACTCCGTTTTCGCATTTAGTATGTTTTCCGGTCATGTCTATTGGCTTCTCATCTTTAAGCCATCTTATCTCGGGTACAGGTGATCCAGTTACAGCACAAACAAGAATCATTTCTGTTCCCTCGGGTACCTTAAATCATTTAAAGTTATAAAACTTCGTCGAAATTCAAGTACCTCTCTTGGGTTGGGTAGTTGCATTCTGAATCGAGGAGCTCTATGGCCATGGTTTAACTTGCGGGTTCCTCTCGATTCTAGTTCTTCAATTCTAACACAACAAACTGTATGAGCTTTTCCTAATGAGTTTCCAGCGGAGCATCTAAACACAATTTATCAATATTCTAATTTTTCACGACCGTGTGATTGCTTTAAGCGCCAATCATTTTAACTTTTAACTGCGTTGGAACCGGTTGTTCTCGGAGTACCAACACAACCATGGTATGATTTTGCTTTTTTTATTATTTACAGATATAAAATAGAACGTACTTGTACTCTCCACTGTCTTCCTTATAAGTGTCAATGATAGTTAAAGAATAATTGCCATCGACATCATCGAATTGTAAACGATGTCTATCGCCATGAAGGATTTCGGTGTTGTTGCGGTACCATTTAATTTCCGGAGATGGGTTTGCAGCAATTTTCACGTCCAACTTTAGAATTTCTTTCTCTTCACATCTCACATCAGTGAGCGGATGATCGAAAGATGGAGCGTGGAATCCACTCGGAATTTCAACAGTTAGCCTAAGAATAGGAATCTCAAGTAAACTTGTTATTGATTGCAGCTTACCTGCATGAACTTTCACATGATCCAAACTCGTTCTTGCCTTCTACTCTCCAAACACCTTCATCGGCTGTTTCAACATTTAGAATTTCTAACTCATATCGACCCTAGAATAGTGAGATATGATAAGCACGGAATAAGGAGAACGCAAGTACCTTATCATGTTTTCTAAGATATCCTTGATCACTTTCAGTAACCCGTATTTCATTATGGAACCATTCAACAACTGGCTCAGGCAATGTCGTATTTGTAACGCTCAGAATAGTAGTTTCTCCAATCTTTACACAAGTGTCAGCAAGCTTGTGATGGAAGTTAGGAGGTGAATCAATTAACGGATTTTCATCATTTGCAGCAATTTTCTACAAAAACGCATATGCTAAATATATTGGATTGGGATCTCACCTCCGTTCTTGTTCTCTTAGAGATGGTAGCTGGTGATGTTTCAGCTTTATATTTCTTACTATTCTTTGAAGTCACATCTATTTTCAAGCGTGATTCAGTGCTTATGGATCCAATATCATTAGTTGCTCGGCACTTATAAGTACCAGCATCGGTCGGTTCGACATTCTTTACTATAAGCTCAGCTAACCCGTCATTGAAGCTGAATGTTCGACATGTATAAGGTAAAATATATGTGAAGCTTACCTCGAATTATATTTAGGTGATGGTACTCTTAATTCTACATTATCTTTGAACCATGAAATCTTTGGTGATGGATTTCCATCAAGATCGCATGATAGCGTGGCAATTAAGTCACCAACGTTGGCAACAATATCTTCTAATTGCTTTCGAACTCTTGGTGCACTTGAATCTGTGTCTATAACAAGGGATGTAAGAGTTCAAGTTCAATCTGACTGAAATACCGAATGAAACATTTCGTTCGAAAACACCGTCCATGGTAAGGCGACGGAATATAGCTCCCCTCTTGGCCATACGACCAATTGGAAGCAAATCATCAGACCAACGTTTAAGCGATAAAAAGTTCCGTTTCTGGCGAGCTGGAACATTACCGCCATCAGCAGGTGGAGTCATTTTCTGAAATTCAACAAGTTTGTTTTCAGAAACTTGGGTGAAAGCTGGAGACAAAAAACAACAATTAACCTTAACGTATTCAGACAAATCATTGAACGCGGACAACAATGGACCCTGTAGAAACATATATGAATGACAAGATAACATGGGGGAGGAAAAAACAAGGACAAACACGTACAGCAATCCATGGATGACGTAAAGCGTCTTGGACAGTCATTCGACGATGTTTATCTTTAACCATTAAACGACAAATAAAGTCCTAATCAACATATAAGTAAGTCATTCTCTGTTACAAATTCTCACCTTAGCCAAATCAGAAACGTCATCCCAAGAAGAATCTTCGAAATCCCAATCGGCTGCAGAAACATTAGCCAATGTGTCCTCATCGTTGTCACCCAAGAAAGGTGAAAGACCCGACAATCTTGATATACTAAAGGTAAGAAAGCAAAGAAACTCAAAATCTTACAACACATAGGAAATGACTCCAACGGTCCACATGTCGGTAGAAAGACCGACTGGTTGATAGTTCACTACTTCTGGAGCACAGAACTCAGGTGTTCCGAAGAGAAGCTTTACTGATTTCTTCGGGTCTAACTTGCGAGCCAGACCGAAATCAATAATTTTCAATTCGGTAGAATTCTTGGCTTTCAAAAGTATATTTTCAGGCTGAATTACAAACAAATGAAGAGAATGGACAAGGAAGTTTACTTTTAGATCCAAGTGAACGATGTCGTTATTATGCATGTGTTGAACACCAAGCAAAATTTGGTGCATGTAGTCTCTCACTTCCTCTTCACTCATCAAAGAATTGTCTTCCATAATCTTCTCAAACAGCTCCCCTCCCGAAACACTGCAAGAAAAACATATTGTTTTTCCATCGTTCCTTTTTCAAACTTACAATTCCTCAATCAAACACATTTCCGTTCCTAAATCGAATGCTTCATGCAAGTTCAGCAATTTGTCATGATGAAGTTGGTTCATTATGGTTATCTCATGAAGAACGTTCTCCTTCTTGACTCCTGGCCGAACCTTCAATACAGGATTTAACCTAGCGTTCAGAGCGGTTGCATTCTTACCTGCACCATTTTTGCAGCCCAGGTCTTGCCCGTAGCTCTCTCGATTGCTCTGTAAACTGTTCCGTAAGCCCCACGACCTAATTCTTCGCAAATGATATACTGAAACAACACAATCATTGAGCGATGAAACTATAAACACTACCTTAGAATGAAGATCGTTAGGAAGCTTATGAACATCTACAGTCTTATAATCAACTGGTTCCACTTTGGTATCCAGTTTGTCATAATTAATGGCTTCTTTCTCGTCAAGAGCTTTGGTCTGTTTCTGTGGTTCCTCAACTTTTCTTGCAACATCCTGGAAACGAGATGAGTCCTGGTGGGAAGTTTGAAAGTATTTACCTTAACGTAGATAGGATCAGATTCCTCAGAAGGTTCTGATTGTCCAAACGTATTATCGGCTCGAACACGGAATCGATATGTCTCTCCAACCTCGAGGTTGAAGAGAGAAATGAAAGGTTGTTTTGTCACTTCCGCTTTAGCCCAGATCTTCGTTTTGCTCTGAAAATTCAATTTCGTTTTTCATGTCATTCCATTCTCATATATACTGGCTGCATTTCCACGGTATAGTTGCGTACAGGAGATCCGCCATCTAGTGTTGGTGGAGCCCACATTAATCGAACCGAATCTACATTCTGATCTTGTACAGATGGCTTTCCAGGTGGCTCTGGTCGATCAGTAACCTAAATAGCATATTCAATAGAAAAGTAAGTTGAACTCATATATTTCTGTTAATGTTCGTACCCTCGGTAAGAACTTATTACCAATTTTCATCCAAATTAACTCAATTCAGAGGGAAGTCTTTCTTAAACTTAAAGTTTTTCCTCCCACTGAAGTAAAAATTGCCAACTTCTACCAATTTTACACTTACCTAACGCTCTCTCTAGGGACTTTTTTTGGAGCTCTTTCACATATTTTCATTCTATTCTATCTCTCTGCCCTCTTTCTCACTTTCACTGTGCTGCTGTTAGAAGCAATGTTCTCCATATAACACGACAAGATCTAGATAAATGTAAAGAGTAACAGAAAAAGAAGCTCAGTGAGGTTACATAGCTTCTTCACATGAAGCATGAAGGATACAACTACTTTCTTTCTCATTCTCTCTCTTTCTCTCTCTCTTTCAAGCTTTCATCTTCCTCATGTTCCGAACGTCAAACTATAACACAGCTGTTGATGTTCATACTGCACATCTTTCTAATCTAGGAAGAATTTTAAAATACAAATTGTTTACTAAAAAAGATATTCTCATCATCAAACTATCAATTTGCTTTTCCAAGACTCCACCTAAATCGCATTGGAGATTTAAGGGTGAGTCTGAGTAAATGCTCAAGAAAACCAGGCCGATTTCATTTTGTCTCTCTGTTCTCGTCTACAACGCTATCCTTTTCTTGGATCGACAACTTCAGAGCTATTTCGCGGCTTAAATTTTCTTTGTTTTCTTTTCTCCACACCTCGGGTGCTACTTCCCGTTCGACCAATATCTTCAACCAGTTTTCTTTATTCACTTTTTTCTCTCTCACAAACTTTCATAATCGTTTACTCAACAACGAATGTCAGTGTTTAAATATATGAATATGAATGGCAAAACGTTACAAATCTCCCTCTTCATTGCCAATTTAATGTTTTTTTCGCTCTTCTGTTTCTTATGAACCGAACATCATCTACTTACGTCTCGGTTGCTATCCTTTCAGCTTGCGATATTTGTAATTTTTAAGAAGCTACTATACAATCTATTAATGTGCCTAATCAATAATGAATGAACTTTCTAACGGCGCACGTGAACTACTCACGTGAGCTAATTTCTTCGCATGAGAGCGCTTTCCTCAGATTTCTCTCTCAATTCTAAGTAAATTCCATATAATTATGTTAAACTTTCAAGCTGTCTCGTACCCATACTTCATTCGTGATTCTGTTGTTTGAGAGGATGAGAAGCATATCAAACCAATTTGTGAACCTCATCTTCAGCAAACCTTCAGTCAAAAACAGTTTCTCATTTTCCACTTGTCTCTCTCTCGCTCTTCTTATTCTCTTTCTTATTTCATTTGCATAGTTTTCAGTTGAACTGAATATAAGAAGAGAAAGTAATTTTGAATCGTCAGTCACTAGAACGCCTATATTCATCATCAGTTTGACATCTAGTTAAACGTGAGAAGAAATTGAGACGAAGACTAACGGATGGTTATCCCAACGGTAAATATCTTGATTTTCTCATATTTTCTTCTAACCTAACGAATGGACAAATTTCGATCGAACGATGTGAATTGATAGTGCTGAGTGAGATACTATTCACGAGAAGAAGCTTCTGTTCAAAAAACGAGTCCATAAGCTGACGATTTTGTGCGAGCGGAAGAGTCATCTCTACCTCTTTCTGCTTTTTCACTCCATCATCATTCACAAAGATTTTAAGATTGCCATTCATAAACCTAACTGATATTGTTATTTTCGAGATTGTTTTCAGGGTTCGAACGGAATGCCGAATTCGTGAGTTTTTTAATTTTCTTAACTGCTTGTCCACATAAAATCATATTGTAATGAGAAATTCGGTGGGTACACCCATGAACGGAAGTTGGGATTGTTTTTCATTCGAACTTACACACCAAGTTCACAGTAGAGGATAAGACTAAGAGAAAAGCCTGGAAGGATTACTCACCTTAATGCTAATTCCATAGCTGTCCTCTCCACATCTGTTTTTGACGCGTAGAGTGAAAGCTCCGACGTCGCTGGACTCAATCTTATTAATTGTTAAAACAGTATTTAAAGCAGTCGATTCAATCTGAAATGTTGATTTCATTCATATTTTCCAACATATTTTACTCTCTCTATATCTCCCTCATGCTCCTGCTTATGAATAAAACTTGTTCTTACCTTAAACTTTCTCGACTCCTCGATCAACTGTCCCTTGTTGTCGATCCATTCTACTACTGGCGCTGGGCGTCCTGAACGATAAACAGATTAAGAAATCATTTTTTATTTGACTTTTAATCATTTTTCTGCCATTATCAATTTGCTTTTTTGTTTTTCAACCATACACATACACATACACAGATACTCATTCATCAGCTCATTACATGGCTGGCTCAAGAAATATGAGAATAAAATCTTTTTCGCGTCGTACGGTTTTTGCCAAAAAAAAAATTTTTTTTCTGTTCACCCTCCTTTACTTCGGACTTGCTTAGTTTAATTCATCGAATAAACAAACAATACTAGAATTCATCTAATAGTATACGTATAGATTTTCTCTTTGACTTAAAGCTTTTCATAAATTGTCATCTTTGACTCGTCGTTTTGCTTCAAACAGCCATGAATGGAGACGATATGAGCTGATAAGTTGATGTGACGGAACGAGTTGTTCGATTACATGAATATGAAGATTGAAGTGCACAAGGACGAAGTTTTTGAAGCCATGTGAAGGAGATACGAGATAAACCTCTTGTTCCTGACTCGCAAGATGTTTAAGGAATAACTTGTGCTCTTCGAGCTTTCTCATTATTACGTCGGCCTTCTTTGAGCTTTTTTTTTCTCTTTGAGAACATGAAATTTAGTTTTTAGTTTTCTTCAGGAAGACGTAAGAAAGAAAACATGGCTTAACTTGAAGAAATAAGCTGATGTCAGCTGGAGAGAGCCGAACGATTCCAAAACTAACTTGACAAGGTGTAAGCGAATCAAATTGCCTTGTATGGGCTTTTCTCTCTCCTTCTCTCTCTCTTTCCATATATGGCTCATGCTTTTGTCAAAAAAAAACATTCAAGATATCCCTCCTGAATAAATGGAAAATGAAATGACTTCTCACAAACGTCGGTTTCAACGATGTTTTTTCTTGGAGAATGAATGAACAACAAAAGTTCTCAAAATATGTGAAAGATCAACGTTTTGTTCTAAAACATTGGAAACTTGAGTGAAAATATGGATACTGGCATATGAAGGCTTAGAAACACGTGGGGTAATATGTAAAGTGCACTCTTCTCTTTCTAGCTCAATTTTCTCTCTTTCCTCTACCCCCTATACCCTGTTCTCCCTCTCTCTCTCCCCCTCTCTCTCTATCTCTTCATCGTCAGCCAATAACTAAACCCATCGTCTCTATTTTCAACAATAAGAAGGATATATGATATTTTCCATGATCCGAGTTATATTTTTGAAAAAATGACCAAAAAAGCAAAGGAAATCGGTCGCAATTGTGTCCTCGAAGTCTTTGCAAGTGCTGACCAAAAACCTTCCAGTCATATCTGATGAGATGGAAGCAAAAATAACTGAAATTTAATCAGCCTCTCCCTAGCTTGAATCACCTGAATATCGGAAAGCATTTGGTGGACTAGTTGAAGCTTGAACTTTGAATGAAACATTTCACTCCAAAAAAGGAAATGACTAATGTGATCTTCGAACAGAATGACCGACATAGGGAGGATTAACATGATGAGCTTTAATAAGAAAAGCGTTTCCTCCGTTAAAACAACTTTTAAGCTCCTTTTCCAATACACATCTTATCTATGGTTGGTGTGCGTAAGGAAATTCATTAATCAAGTTGTTGCTTAACGACTGAAGAAGGCTGCTTATCCAATCAGCTGTCAAGTAGTTGCTGACCTGACAACTTGATATTAAACATCTGCAAGCCAAACACTCAACTTTTCTAAACAGCAGCCATTTTTTCATCAATCCGCCTAATTTTTCAACGTTATTGTGTGTGTAAGAGTATGTTCGAGGGTTCCTTCAAACATCCATGTGAGACTGGGTAGCAAAAAAAAGCGACAAAACTGCCCCTCATTTGAATTCTATTCTAACTACGTCCGTTTTCGTCGTCGTCTTCATCCAACTCCAGCATGATGTTTTGCTCATTGTTGGCCAAAAGAAGAAGAAGAAGAAGAAGAAGAACTATTCTGGCTGCTTCAGCCGTAGACCGAGTTAGTGTGCCAAAACTCAAATAGTTCTTTCATCGTTTCCCATCCATGAAGATGTTTTTGTTGGTGATTTCAGTTAAGAATGCCTTTGGAACTCTTCCTTTTCTTCAATTTTCAACTATTATGTTTTGTATAGAACTCTCAAAGTTCATATCCAAATATAGTGCAAGTGAAGTGAAATTTCATTTGTATTTACACGAAACTGGAGAAATCCCAAATCAACAAATGAGTTTAAAGCTAAACAAGCAGTAAACCAAAACTGGCAATCACACCATAGATGTCCAACTGCATGTTCATCAAAAAATTGGCATAAAATGAAAAAGAGAAGCTCATATTTTGGGCGGGGCACCTTCTGCCATCGTGACGACGTTGGACCAAGTATGTCCCACGCTTTAGGCCTCAAGGCTCTCCCCGCCCCAAGCGAACCCGCCAAACGAAGCCTAGCGAGCAGCAACAGCATTGACGTTAGCAGCACTAAAATCTACGCAAGACACGGAAAAAGCTTCCGCATCATCATATTCCCAATCACATATTAAAGCTGGATCGACAAAAAGCGCGCAGTCAGCTGTCTTATTCCCCAGACTAGTATTCATTCTGGTCACACGTTAAGTTCATCGTAGAACGTCATCAAGCTCTCAATTCTAACGTGATAACTTGCTCAACGAGCATTTTAACTGCTGAAACTGCCAGTGACCCGGCCTGTTTCATCTATTCCCACGGGAACCATCTACATCTGATTGGTCATTTCGTCGTTTTTCGCCTCATATTTATATAAGTCCGACTCATCGGTTGGTTTTGTGGTTGGGCCTTTTCTCTCGCGTTTACTCTTTCTCGCCTTAAAGATTCATAATAATCTTGGCTTAGTGATTGAGAATAAAGTGTGAAGAAGAAGATTTCTTCTTCTTATTTAAATTAGGCACACGACCACATAATCGTATTCATCTACTAATTATTCACTTTTTCTTCGTCCACTCTCCTACACGCATCATCTGGAGGAGAGGAGTCGATAGAGGAGCAAGCCGAAGGACGACACCTTCATCTCGCTCACTCCCTTCCCCCCTGTGCTCACATAATTAACAGTCTTCTCATCTTTTTATTTTAACGGCTGATAGGCTAATACTAGGACTAACTTATTCAATATGCCTACTATGTGAGTTTACGTTTGAATTGATTTTGCATTTTCTTTAATTTAATGAAATTTTCGTTTTAATCGGTGCTGTCAGAACCCTTGATCTTTCTCGACTTACTCCTCGTCATTGCCTCTTACTCTCTATCTCCTTCTACGTATACCTATCTCTCGATCTATCTCTCTCTCTCTATGCATATATCTTTGAAGGGAAAGCTAGAGCTAGAGAGAGAGATAGTCAAACAACAAAATAATTGCATGTTTCTTTCTCCTCATAAATTTTATTATATTTCAAAGAAAATGTAATGCATTTGACACAAACAATAAGCATCTTCTCCTAACTAATCATTTCCTTTTTTCCACACAAAAAGCTTCAATAAAGCTTAATCGCGTTAACATCTTGTCTTCAACAACTCATACACAGACACACAACACGTCTGTCATTCTCTATTCTCTCTTTCTCTTATCAGATTTTCACATTTTTTATTCAAAACTCTTGATTTGTGACCCTTGCATGTACTCAACTTTCCTTTTTTTTCTCCAAAAATGTCTATTTTTCTAAAGAAATAGTTTTCATTCGGTGGCACTGAAGCCATTCCCTACGGGAAAATTGTCAAATTTCCAAAACTGATTTCCTCTCTTCTTATTTTCGTCAGCCTGTCTCTGTTCCTCATCTAGCATATGTTAAGCATATTCTGTTCCATACACACTTGCAAACTAAGGAATTAAGACAGAGTTTCTGACAACTCAATACACTAGCGAACATTTCTCTTCTTCTCAGCTTGAACTTCTGAAGGAACATTACCTCTCGCAGAGAAAGTACTCAATTCTTAGAAAGTTCATGAATGATTCAGAAACCTCTTAACACCTGTTTAGGTAATGAGAAGGTCTCTTCCGAAAGATGTCATCCGACGACATCAACTCAGTTTTCTCTTTTTTTTTACTTCCAAAGCTTCATTAAGATATTTCCATAGTTCCCGATCTCATCTAGTGTACCATCGATCAGCCGTCAATCATTTTTTTGAACAAAAAAAAAATCTTCTTGAACATCTCTTCTACGCCTTCTAATAATGCATTCAATCTCTAATTATCACAAATACGTCCATTGAATCGGCTATGAACCAAGCCAGCTGAGCTACACACATACACACTCCTTGGAGAAACACTTTTTCATTTGATGAACTTGTTTCCTTTTCAATTCTTGTCTAACCTCAGGGAAGTTGTGACATTACAAAAGCTATGTTGATGTTACATCTCGCAACTTCAACCGGGGCGAGAGCTTCATAAGCTTCTTTCAGCGTAACAAAAAGCACTTCCTTGACTTTTTCTCAAAAAAATTCGCTGAAAGAAGACGTAAAAAATCGACGAACGGCTTTGCCTTTAGTGAAAATCATACAAATTCCTTTCTAAATGATTTTGACAGACAAAGCTCCGAAATCTTTTAGCCATATGTAAATTCTGTGGAAACCTTTCAATTTATATTTGAAGTCCACAGACTCAAAAAGAAATGCCTTCATATATATTAGCATAAAGGAAGAGGGTCACGTGAGATTATACGTGAAAGCGTCAACTTCATTTGAATATCATTCGGACGACGAGAGCGGTTGCACTTACAATTATCTCCAAAATTATAATTAAAAGTTATGGAGAGAATTCAAACAATTATAGAAAATGTGTTTTTGTGAAAAAAAAAGTTTTTTTTAGAACTTGTTCTTTCGGCATTTTTATTTATTTTGTCACCAAGAGGTTATTTGAGGCGTGAGAATGCCCGTTCAGCACATTTTTCTTTCACATATAATCATGTATTAAAAATCTTATTATTTCCTCCACAAAAAAAAATCAAAAAAGTCCTAAGCATCGTGAAAGAATTTCCATACGTCTACTCACTCACATACA